ACAGTTCTTGCAGCCTGACGATGCGGTAGTGGATTTACACCGGAATTCATCAACATTTGCGTACGCAGCGTGCTACGCTGCGATGATGAATCGCCACCTACGAGCTTTGCTACATATCTTCGATAGGAAACTCTGTGTACGCAATACCTTTTGCGCAACGTTGATTGAATCCGCGCCCAGGGCGCCCGCTTAGTGTGCCCTGGCGGGGCGTCAGGGGCAGAGCCCCTGGGAGGCGGTCGGGGGAGCTCTCAGAGTTTAGCTAATCAAAGCCCTCAAATGCCTGACAAAAAAATTGTGCAGGGAACCCAAGGAGTACATAATACAAGGAGATGAAACCGGAGTGGCGGGGAACTCACCCCCACATTATGGTAGCGTACCTGGTATGTGCCACTGCCAAAGTAGAAAATGGCCGGGGAGGGGGCTCTGGAACTAACTTCAGACCTGAAAAGATGTGCCTTCTCTATGGTCTCTGCGAACTAATTGTTTGTTGAATGTGGTTATGCCTCTGGAACCGGCCCTATGTTTCGACAAATAGGGGCGTCTCCGGAACTAGCTACGGGATTTCGTGAGAATTCAATGCCTATGAAAACTGCGACATCGTTTAAACTAGGGGGTCGCCGGAACGTGTGGGGGAACATGCATTTGCCTTTAAATCTATCGCTGTAGCACTTGAACCAATATTTGTTGCTATTAATGCTAGAGCGAGACGAAAAACATGCACCGGAGAGAGATGAACGCACACACACGCACACACACACACACTAACTAAGAACACGACCAAAGAGGGCACTGCGACGGGAGCAGCATACCTCCGCAGCGACATACGCCATACGCCATACGAGCTGCACGTTCAACACACGAATAACCCACGATATTACGCCAGACGTAATGTAGGCTCGACCGCCGCTCAGTCAGCAGCGGCGGCTGTGGCTGGCTCGCTCGCTACGCGACAATATCGATCGGCGTCACACAACACACGCACGCACGCACGCACGCACGCACACACACAACACACACACGACACACACACACACACACACCACACGCGCGCGCTACGTGTACACGAACGCCACAGACCGATCAACATAACTTTCCCTCCACTCCGTGGCGGAGGTAAAAATAAGATAGATGTAAGATTATTATTAGAGCGTCAGTCTGAACGTTGTGTAGCAGTATCGCTTTATGGCTATCGTCGTTTCGGCTAGCACGATGTGCAGTTATTTTAGCGAGAGATGGCTCTAGCCCGGAGGACGGCTTCGCAGAAGTGAGACATAGAGACAAACGGCGGAAGCGGAGATACGCAGAGAGGGATGGCGGGCCAGTTGTGTTTTTAGAATGCCGTCGATGTTAACTTACGTGCGCGTACTGTAATTTGTAGTGCTCTTATGACTTGCTGTCGTAGGTGGCGCGTACGGTCTAGTAGTATAGTACTACCACACACTACTACTACCTGTCGTGCGTATGATAAGTTATTATGTTCTGTATGCGCGTATTAGCTGTATGTAAGCTGTAGCTGTATCATGTATGCTGTAGCTAGTATGTGATAATGTGATGCTAGCACTTAGGGCCTACGCTACACCTGATAGTGATCGTGTTATAGCGGTGAGTCGTGCGCAGACACATCGGTTGGTGGTGCCGCTAATAACACTTCTAGTTCTACTAAGTTACTGCCTATTTTGCACTTATCACTTTGTGACCCCCCCCCCCTCCGTATATCTCACTGGACGACCGGAACGCCCCCCCCCCCCTTTCGGCGCCCTCGGTGGTTTGGCTGCCCTCTGCCTTGTCGCGGCCCTAGTGATCGAATCGCGTCAAAGTACGGCGAGTAACGGCCTGTCAGGTGCCGCGGCGACAAACCGGCAACCGTACTATACACGGCCAATTGCAGTAGTCGACGCGGTTAGTTAGTTGGCGAGTCAGAGAGAGGAGGGGGCCGAAAACCGTTACAATTGAGCCGTAACCAGATTTGCCGACGTGATGGCGAGCGACGCGAGCGACACGCAGACAGTCGGGCGCGAGTTGGCAGATGCAGGGGTTGGATGGACCACAGACGCCATCGCTCGACCAGCAGAACCAAGGAGAAGACGGAGCCGAACCGACGACGACTACTCGCGCCCGCAACGTTTCGAGAGAGGAGCCAGAAGAAGCTAGAAGAACCGGCGCACGAGGAGCGACAAACCGACAAATATGACAGCGCGGTCGAGTGAGCTCCTGGCAACTCAGAGAGCGCAGCAGTGCTAGAGAATCGAGCAGACAGAGAGAAGCAATAAGACCGAAGTTGGCAGCGGATATACGTAGACGCTGAGGCTAAGTTCAGAGGGAGCCCTTAGGGATCGAACCGATGGCGAAGCGAAACGAAACTTGGCCAGCCCGGTCCGTGACGCCTGCCCTGGTGCAGTTTCAGCTAGCGAGAGTGTGGCTATAGCAGACTGGGACACGCAGGAGCGAAATACGAAAAGTTGGCCAGCCGGATAGTGGCTCGCTGAGCACTGCTGGCGAAAGTTCAGAGGCAAAGAGTAAGAAGCGCACACGAAGCGTAACAGTGGTGACAGGCATGCGATGCGCGAAGCAGTATTCGGACGACCAGACGAGCGCTCACCCGTCCCCACCTCCGCTCCCTCCACCGCCCTCCATCATGCTGAGAGCGATCAATCCCTCTGTCCACTGCGGGTGTGCGGTGTGTCACACGGTGCGGCGACCGCTCGGAAGCGACGCGGCACGACTGCCAGGAGCGTTCTCGAGGAGTACGTTCTTCTAGAGAAGAAGTAGCGAAGAAGCCTCCCGAGCAGCTTCCAACGGGGAGCTGCCCCACGAAAAGAAGCCTACTGTTGTCCAGCCTGAAAGAGGAGCTACTGGGGCAAGAAGCTTTCCAAACCAGCTTCGAGGAGCGTGCGGCTGAGAAGCGAAGCCGCGCGCTGTCTGCCTGCAGGCAGGAGCTGCATGAGAAGGAGCCTCGCCCTGTCCTGCCTAGCAGAAGATCTGAGCCGAGAAGAAAGCTCGCTGTCCTGCCTGCAGAGAATCTGAGCCAAGAAGAAGGCTTCGCTGTCCTGCCTGCAGCAAGAATTGCAGCGAGAAAGAAGCCTCGCTGTCGGCCTGCAGAGGGAGCTGATGAGGAAGGAGGCTCGCCTGTCCAGGCCTGCAGAAGAGCTGAGCGAGAGGCGAAGCCGCCGGTGAGCACGCTGGAAGCTGCCATGAAGGAGAAGGATCCTCCGTCGCGAGAAGGAGGCGGCCGCTAGAGGGCGCTGTTAGCGGACTCGCCGAGGCGGCAGAGGGAGCATGGCTCTGCTGCGAGAGGAAGCAGAGACCCCTGGGGAAGGCGAACGAGGCACCTCTCATCGAGGCAGAGCAAGTAGAGTCGACTTCAGTTCGACCCCCCCTTCGCGTGCTTCTGTACACGCCCCTGGTTTCGCCCCCCCTAAGAAAATACCCTGGCGCCGCTCCTGAAAGAGTTCTATCTCACGCAGAATTCCGTATGCAATAACTGCTCCACGATAATAATGCAGCAACATGGGGTTAAGCGTCTCTACGGGACAAAACAGCTGAATGGCGCGCACATCAACGTGGGGTTCAATAGATGGACGATGGACGATTCAATATTTCTATTTTCGACGACGATGTTAGATGATTTGAGCAAGTACCTGAACTTCACGCTGACTCTGCGTCAAATTGATCTGGACATTTCTTTTTTAACTCGTACACGCAAACGCGCGCAAATAGCGCAGTTCATAACACCAATGTTAAACGTTAATTACTACGTAATTTGTTTAAGGACATGGCGATTATCGGTATGTGGCCCCAAGGTCTATATAGTTCTATGGATATGTATTAGTAACCTGCATCAATTTCGAAAACTTGTAAACAGTATGTAATGCTCGAATTTATAGCACTCTTGCTTATGTAGCAGATTCGCTTTTGGTATCGTGCGTTTCATTTTTGTCTCACGAGAGATGGCGCTAGCGGGGGATCTCCCGCAATGAGCAATTTGTGGGTACCCTCCGCGAGGACGGTTCCAAGAAGTGAAAACAAGAGAGAGAACGGCGCGAAAGGGAGACACGCCGGGGCACAGGCACTTGAAGCGTTTCAACTGTAAACATACGCCGCCGCCATTGCGCGCACACTGACACATAAATATATAGCACACTGACACATAACACACTGACGCACACTGACACATAACTATATATTTATGTGTCAGTGTGCGCGCAATGGCGGCGGCGTGTGTTTACAGTTGAAACGCTTCCTTCAAGTGCCTGTGCGCCGGGGGGAAACGGCGAGGCAGCTGTGTTTGTCTTATTGCAGTCTTATTGCACATTGCAGTCTTATTGTAGTCGGGATTTGTGGTATGATTGGTATCAGTGCTTCGTAGTGCGCGTACGGTACTAGTAGTAGTAGTAGTAGGAGGGGGGGAACGGGTATTTTCGGGACGCGGGATTGGCCATTTTATTTACCTGGGAACTGGGAAATGTCAGATAAATTTTCCGTGATTCGGGAACAGAAGTCCATCGGGACGTGGGAAAGACCTTCTAAAATTGTCTGGGATCTGGGAAAATTGTGTCAATTCGTCGGGATTTCAATTTCTGCGCTAATATTTATTTTTATTTTTTTTATTCTGCGCTAATTAGATTTATGTAGACCCCAGATAAATAATAGTATGTAAATATTAGTATTTATGTAGTGTTTGAAAACCTAAACTACTGAATTTCCTGAAACATGTCTACATAATTTCCAGACCTGGGAACTGGGATATGGGGTGTTTTTTTGCTGGGAAAGTGGGAATGTACCCCCCCGTTCCTCCCCTCTAGTAGTACTACTACTAGTGTGGTATGTATAAGTATAATGTAGGATTTATGTACGGAATGTATACTGTACGTCTGTAGCCTCAGTGTAGAGATAAATACGGTACGGTTACAGGCTACAGCGTGTTTGAAATATGTCAGACATGATGCATTCATATAGTGTATTACTTTAGTATTAGTGTTCTGTATGCGTTATTAGCTGTATGTAGCTGTAGCTGTATGCTGGGTTCAAGGATAGAGAACATGGGTCCCAATAAAACCAATGTCATTTACATCAATATAAATATAATATTATATCAATATAATAGGTTAGAGTTATGGTTAGGGTTAGGGCTAGGTTTAGGGTTAAGGCTCTCCGACTGTTACACGGCGGAGGACCTCTCGCCACGTAGTGTTAAGCGAGATGGGAACTTGTGGCTAGGTTAAGGTTAGGGTTAGAATTAGGGTTAGGCACATTGGTTTTATTGGGACCCATGTTCTCTATCCTTGGGCCGTATGCTGTAGCTAGTATGCGTATGTAGCTGTATGCTGTAGCTAGTATGTGTATATGTAGCATTAGGCCTACACTGATAGTGATCATTATAGCGGTGAGTGTGCGCAGACACATCGGTTTGTGAGTGCGCTTGTAAACACTCGCGTTACTATAGGCCTACGGTTTAAGCTAACGCTGACCCTTGCGGGTTTTTCCCCAACGAATTTACATTCTCCCCGCGAATCGAGCTTCCGCATATTTTGTACACCAGGGGGCGCCACCGAAAGTGACACCCCTCGTTAGACAGTTTATACAGTATAGCGAAGTGATCTGATATCCAAACTTATTTGTCATGTATAGGCACTGGTGTTTGAATCGCACGTAGTAATTATTAGTTCGTGTGTTACGGTGGCGTGATGGTCTTACGCGTCGAGTCGCGCGCGACGATCGGAGCGAACGTGCCGCTGTCGCGGTGTTGGTAGATGTGTGACGCGAGGATATAGCAAGAGGTATCTTAATCTAGTAAATAAACACTTTTAGTTCTACTTATTACTGCCTACTTTGCACTTATCACTTCGTGACCGGCACCCCCCCCTCCGTATCTCACTGGACGACCGGAACCCCCCCCCCCTCTTCTCAGCGCTCGGGTGTTTGGCTGCCTCTGCCTCGTCGCGAT